CTTGCTCTTTGTCAGGATGCATTGCTCCTGAACCTGGAGGAGGTGATACTTGAATGTTAGCAATCTTTGTCCTGCTCTGTCCCCTCTGCTTTTAAGCCTGCCAAAGTCTGTCAGCTTGATTTGGGATCCTGAAATGTTTTGAGCCTCTTCCTTTAGCTGTTAGTTTCTGAAAGAATAACCAATTTCTTTATCTGAATAGACTCAATTCTGGGTATAGGAATAGCTTAAATAACATTATCTCTTAGTATTTGGGCCTTTTGTGATACTTTGTTTCCTTTGTCAAAGCCTTTCAGTCTAACAGCTAGTCAGTAAATCCAATAGTTAACCAACAGAACCAAAAGATACAGTACCTCATTGTATTTCTGATGGATATTTCCACATACGTTGCACTAAGCATGATTATGGACACTAGGGGAGCAATTACTCTGCACTCTTTTGGTTGATCATTTGCAATAATGCAGCCGTCTAACAGCTGTAGCAAAATTAATCCTTTTTGTATAAAAGAGATGAAGCGGGGTAAGAGGGCTCCTAAGGTAACATGATGACCTGATACGTATGCTCCATTTACAGAGGGGAATGCACCTGAGGGGTTGCACCAATGCTCACTCATATTAAGCCCTAGGGAAATACCGGTTTTGCTACAGTTTTGCAAACATTTGAAATTGAATCTCCTGTTATTCAGGGTGCATTTTTCCCCCTGCGTAACTGATCTGCAGTTTGTAGGCTGGGGGACTAGTTTGTTGTAACTTGTGGCTTTTAAACTTTTTAGACCTGTTACCAGGTGAACCAAGTAGTGTGGGTGAATCTGAATTTGGCGTGAATCTGAACAAGCTTTGTAGAAAGGTTAGTGTGGTTGTGGGGAATTAAAGACAGTAACCACTCTATAGTTCCAGAGTTTTTGTTACCTCTTACATATGCCTGAGAAGTGTTCACGTATGTAAGACTATACTGGGGTTGTCAAAGACAACAGTTGTTCTTTGAAGCTGGCTTTCCAAACTCTGGCCTACTGCCATATCTCTCACATTATTTCTGTTCATTGCTTCTTATTGAAGCTAGTTCTGAAGTCAACAAGAAAACAGTTTAAAATGCTGTCTTTAATTATTTTCCTCTTGAAAATCCAAATTAATATGACACAGTGTAATTTTCACAGGGAGTATGCATTTTTCAAGTCCTGGAGAAGGTTAAGGCCAAACAAGAAAACCTTTTGAAATTCAGAAAACTTTCTGCAGTATAAGGAACTTAACACACCTGCCTGTCGAAGTTTTGTTTCATAGAAACCATTCAAATCAGAAGAGATGAAGTTCCTCTGACTTTTAAAATATGTTGATGAATAATGTGCTTGTGAACATTTCAGTAGCATGAAACTTAGTCCACTGCCTTGGTTAATGTATTTCATAGCACTTTTCCTTTTCTGTGATTTAACCTTAAGTTGCTCAGTTCAATTATTGGTGTATATTTGAAAAGGGAAAAGAAATGTCTCTTGCAAAAAGTTTAGTTAGAGTGCTTGGCAATTGATGCTTAGTTCAACTCACTTAGATAAAATATATAATCCCATAGTAAGTGCAAGCCTTGGCTTTGAAAATACTCCCTATAACAAGTGTTCTTTTCATGGAAACTAGAGACTACTTTTTTCTGTTAGCTGCTTTTTTTTTTAGCTGTTATTTTAAATAGGCTTGTTAGTAGTAACATTGTTTGTTTAAATAGGCTTTGTTAGTAGTACCGAATACACAATATATGTTCAGTTTGAAATTTTTTTTTTCATATCAACAAAGTCCTGATGTCATAAAGTTTACATGCTTTGCCCTGATGTTTGCAAATACAGTTCACTTATATGCAACTATTTCTAACAATTGTAGTGAGCGTCATTTTGTTTCTTAAGTGCACTTATCTCTTTTTTTTTTGTTTGGTTGGTTGGTTGGTTTTTGTTTTTCATGGATTGCTGGCTTCTGTGCTCTTTTTACAAAACATTTATGAATCCTGACTCACAAATGAAAATGTAAGGAGTGCTTTAATTTACTTATAATTTGATGAGCAGTACTGTGCTGGTTTTAGGTCATACCTGTGATCCTCCCTTCTCCAGAAGGTCAGCTAAGACTTTTCTGATACCTTAAGGACATCTACTAGGAACTTAGATGCTTTGTGGAGCTATAGTTATCAGAAGTGTAAGGACAAATTCTTATATAGCTTTCATTATGTGAAGGGGACATATGGGAGTTAGGGTGAAGGATAGACATAGCAAAACCACATTAGCTAGTAGGAATATACCTGATTGTTATGCTCAGTGGCATGTGTTACACCAGTGACCCTCCTCATGCCTGAGATGTTTTGGGGGAAACTTTTGCTGTTTTGGGGTACATTCTCCCTGTTCCCAGCTCCAGAAGTCTATCCTGGAGAGCTGACCAGACTGGCATGAAATAGCTCAGCATTTCCACACGCAGCAGTTAGGAGGATTAGCATATTGAGCTATTCTAGCTTTCCACCACCTGAAAGCAGCTAGAGGGAATGGGTTCAGACAGCAGAGGTTCAAGAAGAGTAATGGTTAATAGGGGGGGAAAAGGCATGATTCAGGTTCGTAAGTTTAACTGCGAAGTAGAGATTAATTTATGGGTGAGGGAAGAGGGAATATGAATGGTAAGTAAATAAAGTGTTTAAGAGCAACAAACCATATAACCATACTGGTAGGTGTAAGTGAACAATAAAACCTGTGTTATAGGTATTTTTGAAACAGATTTGTAGTATGGAGATACCAGTATGGTACAGGCCGTTTTGATCTGTCTACAGCACATTGCCATGTAAGAATAGCAGGCTGCCCAAGGCAATGATGGACACCAGTCAGGCTCCAGGCTCAGGCAACTAAGTCTTAAAATTACTGCTGTGTCATATAGTGGATACTTGGGAGTTTCCATGCTGAACTGCTCTTTTGAAATGCACGTATGATTGAAACTGACAATTTTGCCTCACCCTATTCCTCATCCCACTCATGTCTGGTATTTTGTGGCCTCCCTTGAAGCCCAAGAATTGGGTAAACAGAAATATAACAGATAGCAAGACTCTGATTAAGACATTTGCAGGATATTCAGACTTGGAGAATACAAGCTCCTGTATGCTACCAGGGAGCACACTGGGTTCACAGTTCTCTCTGCTTATTTGCAATAAGCATAAAACTGCTTATTTGGATTTTTCAGACAAAAGTTTGGGTTCTGCTTTGAATCTCTTGAATTGACCATTTAATTCTAGTTTATGTTGGCTGAAAATACATGCTGATGCCTTGTGGTCAGGCAGGGCTGATCCAAGAGTGAAGCAAAATGGGGAAACAGTTGAGGTTTTTTTACTGATTTTTATTAGTGCTGTAATCCTTTCAAGTACACACAAAGTGTGACTTAGGAAGTGTCAACCCAGTGTCCCTGTGGTGGGAGTGCCAAGGGTTGAGGAAGGACTAGCTAGGGGAATAGTTGCTTTATGTAAACGTAAGATACCTTGAGAACGAGTCCCAGGAACCAGTAAGATAAAACTTTCATCCTGTGACATAAGCTCTAGTTTAGCTAGATAAGATACCACCTCATTAGATCTCAAGATGATGTGAGGTGTATCTTCTGAGCTTGTTCACCAAAGTGTAATCAAAGCAATGGATATTTTTATGCCCTTCTTAAGTGAAGAGAGATTAAATTAGTTGGAGAATATCTGTAAACAAAACTTTTGTCTTAATAGTGAAATAAACTGTTTATTGTAAAAACGTTGTCACATGATGGCATTTGGCTGTGTTATTGCTGTAAAATTGCAGAAATTAAGCATTATAATGTAAAGTTTCTGTAAATAGGGTAATTCAGGCCAGGCATTAAATTAACAGGCAACATAGTTTGGCTTTTTTCTTTAATGCTAAGAGCATCCTGTCGTTTTTTTGAGACTTTAGTCTTCCGAAGGAGGGTGTGTGTATGTATTTGTCATATCTTACTTTAAAGTATTATTCAGACTCTGCTATTAGTGACATCTTTTGGCCTCAAAATTTTCTGACTTAACATTTTATTAGAAAATTATGAAAAGGGAAGCCAGGGAAAGGCTCTGATGGCACATGTTTTAGCCCTCAGCCTCCAGTTCTTTCACATGAAATTTCTGAGGTAGTGGCACATACTGTGAAAAGGCAACACACTATTGCAGCAGTGCTGCATTTGTAAAATAAAACCAGTGCTTTTGGTACTTTGAAAGGACCCTTTATTGTGAAAATCATGCACGTGGATTCTTACAGAAAAGGTGAAATGAGAGGCAAAGTAGGACCTAGCTTCCTCTTGGAATGCTGAGCCACAAATAATCTGCTAAGCACTAGGTACCATCACACAGCATGTTTTCTCCAAACTCACCAATCAAATTAGTTTCCATTAGTCATTAGGTCTGAGTACTGAAGATGGAATGAGTTTTTCCTACACAAGGCATTCTCTTTGGAATGGAAGTTAGAGCTACAAATTTTATGACTGCTGAAATATCCATGGCAGTTTTCCTCTCTTCATTGCTGAAATTTCAATATTGGAGCTCAGAATACTGCTCAGATATATAATACTGTGAAGTCAGTAGATGAAGACCTTTCAGAACTGTACTGTAAAAGATACGTCATAATTTTATTCCTTAATATGTGCTGCATTGTCAACATGTTGCAGTGCCATTTGACATCAGTATGAATCCTGCAATACACATATCTATCTCCTTTTTTAATTGTTTTATTTTTCCCTCTGCAGTTCAGATGGAGAAAATGGAACAGATGAAAAAAGAAAGGCAGGAAAATTGCCTACTGTGTTGCTGCAGACCCCTACCAGTGAAATGGAATATTTTGATGACCGGAAGAAAGTTGATGTTGCTAGGTAATTTCAGAAATGCTGTCAGTTTTCTTCTAGTCAGAAGGAATGCTTACAACCCTTTCAAGAAGCTACACTGAGGAGCAAGATTTATCAAACATCCTACTTTCAAACAGTAATCAGAGCCACATTCCAGGGGTTGCTGTTACCCAGGATAAACAATCAGAATAGTGGCAACTTAGACTTAGGCTGGCATAGCTTCCTTGTTGGAGTTAAAAATACATTGCACTGTTTCATACTAGTTACACCCATTTCACAGACAATTTGACAAGCAGTCAAACTGAGCTGCAGTTTGAGTACTGAGCTTTTATCAGAATACTTTAATTCTGGAATATTGATTGTTCATGGTGAAACTATGACGTAAGTTTTAGATTTGGACTCTGTGCTGTATATTGTGTTATTATTGTAATGTCTCTGCAAAAACAGTCATTCTACCTTTTTTTGAGAACTGAAATGCAGCTCTTGAAACTCTTCTAAAAGAAAGCAAAATGATACTAAAATCGCAGTGGGAGGGCTTGAATACAAATTCACATCCCTTTCACTTTGTCAACTGAGCAGCCAGTGCAAAAGTCAGCAGTCAGCCTGACTGTGGTTTTGGTCACACGGCAGATATTTAAAAAACATCAATTTCCTGAAGCATCTTTGAGGAGGTTTGTTGGGTTTTTTTTGCAAACTCTCCTTCCTGTCTTACCTCCCACAATGTAACTGAGTACGAGCTGGGCAGGGATTGGCAAAAGGGCTTTTTTTTTTCCTTTTTTTTTTTTTTTTTTTTTTAATGTTCACTGTTCATTTCAGTTTGACCTGTGCTTTACGTATGCACACAAGTATGTGTACAGTGTATTGCAGAGTTTTCTTCTGTGAGGGACCACCTGATATCTGCAGCCAGTCCCCTTGCTACCTGAATCAGTCCTGCTGTACAATCACTTTTGTAAATCCAGCTGCACCCCCATTACTCTTGGGGGTTCTCTTCCTCTCACCGTTAAAATTTTTACTGGAAATCCTGAACCTCTCATGCTTAGAAAAGTAAAGAAGACTTACTGTGCAGGACAAGGTGCAGTATTGGAAACTTCTGTAGCGTATTTCTTTCCCCGTTGAATCTTTAGCACAATTGAATCTTTAGCACAGCAGGTGTGACCTGAAGTCAGTACAGGAGTCCTGCATTGTGATTTTCCTTCTGCTCTTCAGTCTGCATCTGAACACCTCTACAGTTGCTTAATATACTTTTGTTCTGTGCTAAATAGCTCTCAAGAGTAATGTTCATCTCTTACTTATTTATGAAACACTGTTATCCTACATGTTCTTGTTTTGTGAACAGTCCATGCTATTAATTTCTCCTGTATGAAACAAACAAAACCTTTCCCAGCCATCTGCAGTGACTTTCCTGTGTACTTATTCTGCACTAGAGTTGTTGGGTTTTTGACTGATTTTCTTTTTCCAATACCTGTGGCTAGAGCTGTACAGATGCACCTTCATATACAACTGGCACTCATAATTCCCTTTCACCTCCTCTAGGATTGCTGGCTATCTTAATGATTTCATTGCACTGTACTACACAGCTTATAGCCATCCTCTGACTTGTTCACCTGTTTCTGCTCTGTTGCACTTTGCAAAGGAGCTCAAATTTTGTAATAAAAGTTCGCAGCTTTCTGTATTCTACCTTGCACTCTCAACTACAAAGGTTTACCTTACTTTGTCTGGCATTAGTAAGCAACATACATTAGTATTTCACATGTTACTGAGAAACAAACAAATGTGGAGCTAAGCACTGTGGTCATTGATTAAGTTGTAAAAATGTCTTGAACTTTAATTTCTTACAACTAGTAATTTAAGATAATATTTCTAAATAAAAAGAAGACCTTCAGTGAGAGTTAGCATGGTTTAATATATACTATGTAGTATATAGAATATGTAATATATACTCCTCTTTATTGCTGTATAATCCTTCATGAATCATATATTAGTTATTAAAGGATTAGTACGTTTAATGGAAAAGCATGTCCTGTTGGTATCTTACCAAGACTAGTGAACTGAGGCCAAACTGACAAGGGATGTCTTTTTGTATCTTCAGGACAAAGATCAGCACAGATAGTCCACTCCTGACAATGGATATCAAGAGTGACCTCAAGACTGAAAGGAAAAAACATGCCTCAAATCAGGTAGGCCAGAGGATGGACTTGTTTGATCATACGTAGTAAGAATAAATACATAACTACTATGAGAGCCCCCTTGTTTAGCAATATTATAGTTCACAGTTGTATAATGACATAGGTTCCTTTTTCATCAGTGTGTTATGTACCATCAGACTGTGGGTATAAGTAGTATGCAAACTTAATAGTCGCATAACAAAAATGAGAATTTATTGTAAAACAAGTGATCAAAATGAGGAGGTACTGGGAGGACAGGAAGTGGAATGCGTCACTTGATTCTAAGACTGTCTAATAAGGTATGTGTCTCTGGGTGTCGGCTTTCTTGTTTTTTAGCTGAAGGCAAATGCACACTTTCATAAGCTGTTTCTAGATGTTCCTATTGATGAACCACTGAAACAAAGTAAGTATTAACTCCTTTGTCATTGCTGGCTGTGGATCTAAAATAATGTTGTTTCCTGCCAAGTGTGGTGATGTACAAGAGGGACAACCTAAATTTCAAAAGCCTTAAACTCCAGCTGCCTAAAGCTACAAGGCCTTCAGCTGCTTGCAGTGAGTGTTTTTGTTGTAATCTCGCAAAACTTAAATCTTCACATGCTGGGCATCTTTGGAAATCATAGCCCCATTTGCAGTTCTTAGCAGAGTAACCTAGTGCAACATTTTTTGGTACTGAAGCTTCCTTATTAAAGGCGCTACTTGAGACAGCACTGGTCAAGTGACTAGCTGAAGTTTTTTGCTGTTGATAGTGCTTTAAGATCTAAAACACTTCTATGAGAAGAACTTGAAATATTTAAAGATTCCACTGTTCGCTGTGGTAGTTACAACACGTAATTCTATATAGATAGGCATAAAAAATGTTTCTTGAAAGGAAAGTAATTAATGAGTGAGAAATGCTTTCCTTAATGGCTGTGAAGTAAAAGCAGTATTACTTCACACTTGTACCTCTATTGTCACTTAGTCTAGATAACTGCTATGGATCTAAAAGTTTAAAGCTAAAACCATTTCATTAAACTCTTCATATGTACATAACATTGTTACCTGAAAGCTAGTCAAAAAGTTCATAGGAAGCTAGGTGGTACTCTCTCAGAAAGAATTCTTGGCTTCTGGGAGCCAGTTGCATGTTTTATACATTTCAGTCTTTGTTCTTCAGGTATTTTGAGTCTAAACTTAGGCCTGTGAAATCTTCTAAGCTTGTCAGTATTATTTAAACTTACTGAATAGTTCAAGGTTTGACAATGTTTATCAAAACGTGTAAACCTATACATACTACAGCTTTGCAAAAAGAGCAAAACAAAAGCCAGACTGGTAACAGTTGGCTTGTGGTTACCTTAAAGATTATATAGAGTATACGTTTGTTTCAGGCTTTACCTGTGCTCTTCAGAAAGAAATTCTGTACCAAGGAAAATTATTCCTTTCTGAAAACTGGATTTGCTTCCATTCCAAGGTTTTTGGTAAAGACACCAAGGTTAGTAAAATCTTTATGTACAGGAGAGTAATGCTATTCCTTAACAATTTGTTCATCACCAGAAGTTCACATTATTATACAAGGCTAGAATACTACTAATACTTCTGTGTATTACTGCATACAGTCACTGTTCAGAAGTGATGCCCGAAAGTCACATTAGAGCTGGAGCACTATTATTAAAGATCAAAGTCTATCTTTTAAGGACTTCCTGTCTGGAAAACAAAAACCCAAAACCAAAAAACAAAACCCAAACAGATCAAAGGAAAGGATCTGACATGCAGCAGTGAGGGCATTGCCAACCACATGTAGCATAAATTATATAAAAATGTCTCCATTGGGGTAAGTATGGAAAATAGGAGGAAGAGGAGGAAGGAAAGCTGAGAAGTGTAAGAACTACAAGTCTGTAGATGGGTAACTGGAAGGAAAGATCAGGCATAGCAGGACAATTAAAGAGGCTTCTGAGTTGAGGGGCAAAGGTCTTTAAGGGACAATTCTAGCACTCCTGTTCCACATAAACAGAGAATAAGGAAAGAAAAAACAGTTTGCTAGATTTTTACTTGTGAGCCTAGTGTAAAGAGCAGAAATGAGATGTGAACAGCCAGGAACATCCTAATGTACAAGATCATTATTTATGCTTTCTTGGGGAAGATATGACCAACGTAGGGCTTGGGTCCCTGTGGTAAATGATATGCATACAGATAAAAATAAAGCCTTTCCAAAAAAGATCTGTGTTCTAGTTCTGTTGATTTGGAGCTTTTGGAATAGTTCTGTTTACTTAAACCCTGCTTTGATTTTGAGCTTTTATTGGGAGGCAGCTGGATTTGCTGCAGTGATTTCTTTGGCCTCTTTCTCAAGTACTTCCTTGAACAAAGTTCCTGGCTAGATCCAGACCCTCAGTGAATTGGGTGTTGAAACCAGTTTAGGAGTTCAGAGTACCTCATTTCTCTGCTGTCGGCCATTTTGGTGGGACACCATCTGTCACTGAAATGGCTTTTAAGAAGTTGGAATAGGCTTAAAGAATGCTTAAAATTAACAAGACATTGTTCATAGTGACCTTATGGGTCACTATGTTTTACTAGTTTTACTGGGGTTTTTATGTTTTACTATGTTTTACTGTGGGGCCTAAGAAATTCCTGGTTAATGGCTTCTGTTAGTTATAGGCAGTACATTAATGCAGATGGTGTGTGTGTTAGTAACAGCCATGTGGCACAAAGGAAGTAAAAGTTAACAAATGGTTGGATACTGTAACGGCTATCTTGGCAATTAGTTACATTAAAATTTAAGCTGCTGTATTAGCAATCCCTTGTTCACCAGAAATAAGTAAGACTACTTCAAACTGTGGGACAGCTTTCTAAATTCAAACTAATCTAAATATTTACAAAAATCTAGTAGAACCCTACCAAGTAAGTTCTGGGGGAAAAAAGAAGCAGAATAATAAGGATGTTATACTAGAAAAATTATCTTTGTCAAGAGGGTTTTAAATGAAGAGATATATGCATATTTATGTGTACAATGAAAAGGAGAAACATATTACATGATAGGGTAGAGTAGACAGTATTTGCAGGTGTGGCTAAATTGGTATTCCAAATTATTGAATTCTAGGTCATTGTTTTCAGAAAACATTGCAGAGAAAATTAAGAATGGAGATATACCTGATCATTTACTTCCTGCTATCTTTCTCTGTTCCTGCAACACACACTTAAACTTTTTTTCAGTCACATACAGCAGGCATATGTTTTTAGGAATACTATCGACAAAAAATCAGGAAAATCAGCTATATAATGAAATATATAATGAAATATAACGGACGGAGGAAATCAAGTTTGACAGGAACATACTTAGTAGTCAGATACACTGACAAAGTTTCCAAGACAGGTCTACATGTTCTAATAAATTTTTCAATATGAATTGTTCTACCTGCAGATTTTTTTTTCTTGAAAGATTTGGTGGAGGGAATAGCCATGCACATCAGGAGTTGTGAGTCTGCAGTGTAAATGCTGCATATTCAAAATTAAAAGACTGGTTTTGCAGGATTGAATAAGCTTTGAAAGACATCACTGTCATTCCAGGTGGTTCTGATTTGTTTATATATATTGGCCTTGAGTCTTACCTGGAGCTTAACATTTTCTTACACATTTTAGTTGCTCTCCAAGTCACCTGCAGGTAAGCCTTGTTTCCTGATATAATTATTAATCCAGATAAAAATAAAGTACTTTGCAGTGATTTTGCCATTTTAATCTAATGCTGAGGTAACAGTGCATTAAGCAAGTACTTAATCCCAATGAAGTACACTTCAGTCTTGATTACAGTAATGTTATCCATCAAAATAGCATGCAGTAGAATGCCATTAACATCTCTGATTTAAAGTTCTTTGAGGTGAACTGAACCAATTGCAAAACTAAGCTGCTTTTTTATCGTTACTGTTAGCAGGATTTCTGCTAACAATTCTGCTGGTTTGATTTTGGTTTGGTTTGTGGTTTTGGTTTTTTGAAGTTATCCAGATTCCGTTCTGACTGCTTGAAGATTCTGAGTTTTTCCTATCAAACATACTTTGTAGCTGCTCCATTCTTCCCACTCCCAGAAAATGCTGTTTTTAAAAAGTCTTGTGAAAACTTTGTGGAATTACACAATGTCCAGTTCAAGAAGAAAAGCTAAAGTGGAGGACCTGTTTAATTACCCATTTTCAGAAGACCTGCCTTCTGAAGCAGGACTAAAAGAGTTGATATGTTAAAACATCAATAGAACAAATGCTGACCAGATTTACAGATTTTCATACCGAGGCCTGGGGCTAAGAATAATTAAAAGCATATGCTTTGGGTTGGGTTGGTTTTTTTTCTGCTAGCACACTTTAATGAAACTGTGTTCCAAGAGTGAGTTTCTACCCCTTATATGACAAGCAGGTATTTGACTAGCCATGCTTCAACAGTGCTGGCAGTCTTGCACTCAGACTAATGTAAGCAAATGTATTTTTTTGTTACATGAAATAATTTTTCATTTCATGACTTTGTCTTGCTGTTCTGAACAGAAGGTAACAACCTTTTTTTGTGAAAACAACCTAGTTTTGTGAAAGTATGGGCAAAGTAACTTCATTCTCCTCCTGCACTGACATGTTTTTAGTTCAGTGCTGTGACTGATCATTTGACAATCTTTGGACACTTTTAATCTTGCTTCCGAATTACTCAGGTGGTTGTGACAGTGTGTGCCTGAGAAATTTTTAATGAGAGCTATATCTTAATGTCTATCCAGGGTTATTGTATTTGCCCAACTTGCTAAACGTAAGGCTTTTCAACTGGAAGTCACACCAGGTACTTGGTTCTTTGTAATACGAGGTTTACAAGAGGAGCCCATACAGAATATCTGAAGTGAAATACCCTGAAACTTAAGCTTATGGGGTTGGATGTAAACACAAAGCTGGAAGGAAAATTGAGAACTTTTCCATGTAAATGTAGACAGTCTGGATGGCACACATAGAAATCCATGTAAGTCAGTGAGTATATGGATATTGGATCTTTCAAGATTACTGAAGGACAACCTGTTTACTCAGCTGCTCATTGCAGACTGAAGTATCTGCAAGTGGTGAGAAGACTTTTTATATTTGTTCTTCAACAAGCCTCTCTTGTCTGACGTGTTCTGAAATGTTTATTTTACCAAACAAAGCATTGCTTTGAATGGTTTGTTTTGCAGATCTACAGTGAACTGAGCCTGTAGTCTTGTAAGAGTCAGAAGGGATAAGGAAAGGAAGACACAAACAAAAGCACCTGATAAAAACAGAAGTAGAAATAGTAATAATCTGAAAACATACATGTTCCATATGAAATAGTAATAATCAGGGACGTAGTGGAGAAATCTTTAATTGAAGAGTGTTGAAGGACTGACTTACCGCATTTGGTAGGCTGGCTCCTTCTGAAAGAGCATGCGGATTTGTATGTGCATTTTGGGACTCTAATGCTATGTTAATCTCATTTTAGATTAGTATACCTGTGCTCTCAGTGACACTTTTGAAGAAAACCAAAACTGCCCTTCTTGTGCCAAATGCTCTAATCATAGCAACAGTCACAGATAGGGTAAGTACTGGTAGAGAGTGAAGCTGATTACACTCTGCCTGCTTTCTTTTTCCTTTTTGTTTCTACTTTTCCCACTCCCAGCCCCCCAGTTGGCAGTATTATGAGGGATTCTTGAAAGTACCAAATGACCACTTAAACAGCTATAGGAGTTGGTCACATGTGGGCATTTAGACTCAGGACCTTGGAGGATCTGGTTTCTTAGGGGATTCTAGCTGCTACCCCCTCCCTGTGACAGGCAATGATTTTTTATTTTTTTTTCTTTTCTTACTCCTTGTCTTTTTTCCTTGGATCTACAGTAAACAAAGCTATGTAGAATTTGGTGAGAAAATAAGAAACAGAATCAATAGTTGCCACCTGCTCTCTGTAATATCTCATTCCCTGTTCTCCAAGACTGCTGTGTAGTAGCACTGGGGAAACTGAGACATCTGGGTCAGGAATTGCATGCACAAGGGTTCCTGCCTTGTTGGCATCTCTGACAGTATTCTTTCATTTACTTGGGTCTCTTGCCTGACCAGCAATGTCTTAGATGCACAAAATATAGTTGCCTATGGTGGTACTCAGTGATGAAACACAGTTGCGTGAGCAGGAAATGTGATTATTCTAAGTGCAGCTTTAGAACCAGCCCAGTTTCATTGCACAAGCATCTTGTGAATGAAGAAGACAACAAAACTTTAGTGGTGGTACTTGGTTTGTGTGGGTTTTTAGTTTTTTGGGGTTGGGTTTTGGGTTTGGTTTTTTGTTGGGTTTTTTTAGTGTGTGTTTGGTTTTGGTTTCAGTTTTGTTTGTGGGGTTTTTGTGGTTTTTTTTTTCTTTGTTTTGTTTTTAGGGGGTAGATTAAATAAAAGTATGGAAAGTTTTGTTAAAAAAAGAACGGATCTGGGCTACGCTTTGATCCCAGCAGTGGAACATGGTAACTTTTGTGTGCCTGTTCTGTTTCTTGTGATTAACCTCAGGTCATAGGCTTAGGAGTGGAGGGTTTTCCTGCTATATGTAAGTTCTTGATGATAGTTACGTGATCAGCAAAACTATCTGTCAGTTTTATTTACGTAAAAGAAAGCTTTTACTGTATGACTTTTCTCAAGCAGTTTTGCAACTTCTGTTTTTCAGTACATGTTTGTCTCCTTACTCTCCAGAGATACCACCTACAAGCTATTAAAATCTATCTGTAGACATCTTGAGGTAGGTACCAATGGCAATGAAGATGGTATGTAGCTTTGTGTTCATTATTACTGCTTTTAAATGCTAGGTGTTCTTGTTAACACTGCTGGTTTTTTCCAGGATACAAGCATGGGCAACAGTTCGAATCCCTCTTCTGCAGAAAACAGCTTCAGGGCTGATCGTCCTACACCTCTGTCCTTGGTAAATGGTTTAGATGATTGTTCTTCTGTTGTGTAGCACCTTTCATTACAAGTACTACTTAGAAACTCTGAAGAAAGAAAACGGAAGGAAATCATGATGTCTGTTTTTAAAAACTTCCATGAGTTTGTTAACATTAGGAAGCAGTGGGAATGATTAGCAGAGGTTTAATTTGGTCTGATAACATGCAACATATATACATGCATATGCTTTGAATAGATTCCAAAGTCTGTAAGCTGTACATATCTCTCCTTAGCAGTCAGGTTTCACAGCACTCTGTACTGACTTAAAGTTGCTTCTTCCTCTGCCATGAACAGTTTTTGAAGTTGCAATCATTCCTCTGTGAGCCAGTTCAGACATCTGAAAGAACTGTGTAGCCACATGTGATGACCAGAATCTAATTCTAGTAACACCTGTTCTGGACTTCTCAGTTTGTCTAATTTAACAGTCTGTCTTTTGCACACAGGCTTAATCTTTTCACTTAAACAAAGACAGGGAATGAGACTTGAATTCTGGTGATCATAGGGAGCTTGTTTTGCTAAGTTTATCTCAACATCTTGATATCAGAGATTGTCCCTGGTTAAACAGTTTTAAATCTGTAATTGTTGGTTCAGTTTCTAAAGAGAGATCAGAGAAAATAAGGCTGCTTAGATTTAGAGCTTGGCTGAGCTTTCTCATGACTCTTTCTCCCCATCAGGATTTCAATGAAGACTATTCTGATCTGGATGGAATAGTGGAGCAGCGGAGACAGGAGATGGAAGAGTCCAGCAGCTCAGGCTCACAGACCCCAGAGCTGGAATGCTTCCAAGGTGATTGGGATTGTGGGTCACCAAAAAAATAAGAATGGCTTAGCTCTCAGTTTTGCTTCTGTAATCCACCCCTGAGTGGAGTCCTAGAGAGTTACATGGTTTTTAAGGTTTTCCTCAAAGCCACAATAGCTGCATTTTCATTATTATCTTCCTTAGCAATCCAAACAGGCAATGGCTTGGTCAACAGCAGATCTGATTTGTCACTACTGCATCCAGTTGCTTATCAGTGTACTATTTTGCTCCTACATCCTCCATCAGTTATGCTAGCAGAGATATAATGTAGATGTTCCTCTTTTACATAAAAGAAAAACAAGTAAAAACCCCTATTCTAAAGTAGTTCAAGTCACAGCGTGTCTTCTTCTAATCTATACGAATAACATTCTGTACTGTGGTAGCTTTTGGTCATCAAAAAGAGTTCTTTTTGACATGTTTTTGTGAGTTTACTTTTTAAAACCCCATCTTATTCTTTGCAGTTCTTAAGACACTTGAAGATACCATCCAGAGTTGTTCCTTCTTAACACTGCTGTTTGTAATCTCATATGCCTCAAGTTCTTTGCCTAATTAGCAGGAATACTGTGTAGAAAGTCACTGCACACAAGTTCATAAGTATGGCAGAACTTGGTTTATGTAGCACATGCTGAATATTATTAGCAAAACCTAGGGTATTATTCTGCTGTATAACTAATATATTAATGTATTGTTATGGTGTTATTACTCCGGCTTCCATCTTGACTATAATAGAATTAGTATCATAAGAAACTTTTACCCTTACTTTTAAATTAAATACTGCCCTTTTTACAGCAGTTTTCTGTCCCGTTAGTTTTAATTAGTTTTTCTTTTTTGCTATGTGTCTTTTGTTCAGCAGTATGATTTGCTTTCATTGGTCTTCGGTATTTACTGTGTGTTATAGTTAATTGTTTGTTGTGTTTGTGAAGCAGTAACGGAATTGTGCTGTCATCACTTGCCACATGAATGCTTCTGAATAATTGCTTAACTTGCTGTCTTTCTTCTTTATAGCTAATAACTACTTCAAAACTTTCTGTTTTCCTTTTCCACAAATAAAAACCAATATCCAGTTAAAGAATCACTCTAGGAAAAAGAACTGAGGGGTGAGGGAGAGCACATCTGTCACAAGTGAGATTCTGTTTCTTGTGCATCATTGGAGCAGTCCAGGGTGTGCAAGTAAAGCCTGAAAAAAACTGAATGTGACTGGATTTTTCTGTTCCAGCCTTTTCAAGACATCATCTGTATTTAAAAAAGTCAAGAAATGGGAGCTATAATCTCCTTTTTAAAGTGACAATGCAATATGTCCATATGTTGTTGCTATTAAAGTCATTTGGAATCATTAGCATATTCAGTCCTTTTGAGAGATGACTTTTGTGTCTGGTATTTCAGTGGTAACCTTCAAAATTTGCACTGGTTGCCACCTTTCAAATAATCTGGAAATGTAAATGCAACATACAATCATCCACTTCCAGTTCAGGTGCTTCTTTATATTTTGTGATGATGTGGAATTAGTATGTAAGCTGTTTTAAGGCTACTAAACCAACTGCTGCTTTCTGTCCAAGTCCATAAGAGCTCCTTTTAAAATCCTACTCTTCCCCTGCTCCTTGACTAACTTAAGCTACAACAACTTCCTTTGACTTTATATCTCAGCTTTGTTAAACATCTTGCTTTTGACAGATTATCATATGATTGAGACACAGACTCACTTGAAAGTTTCCAAGACTGAGGCAAAGTCTGTCCGTTCAGATTCACATGGCAAACGTGGAAGTGACGGAAAAGCCTGGAACAGTGCTCAAAATGGTAAGGAGTCAAGGGCAGATCTTCAGCTGGAGTTAGCTGAGATAAGTTTGCATAATTATGTCAGTTCACAAATTTGGAAAATCTTTCTTGTTAATCCCTCTGTTTATATAATCTGTTTGATGCTTCAGAAGCCCATTTGTATGCTGTGGTCTGCTTTGATCAGACTTAACATTTGGTTCTTTTCTTTGCAGGCCATTCTGAAGCCTTCAGGTTCTTCCATAAAGTGAAGTCCCAAAAGCTGTTGTCTCTGAACCATGTACTTGTATTTTATGCAGTTCTGTAAGTTAGCAGTTAATAACAAGATTGTCAAAATATTGGGGTTAATTAATATAATCTAAGCTTCACTTAAATAAAGGGAATTATTGGGAACTGCAGCCTTTATACTTTTCAGAAGTAGAATTGCTGGGGCAGGCTTACTTAAGAGGCCTTTTGGTTTTAAAAGCAAAGGATTTTTGCTTCAGGAAATGTTGATCTATCAAGTAGTTAAATAATTTTATTTTACATGTCGCTTAGCAAAGTTGTACTCAATGCTCAGATTTTCGTAACTGTCTGAATGCCACTGAGTATTCCTGAGATGTTTATCAGAATGGTACCTTTATTATTCAACATATACAAGTAACAATTTAAATAAATTAAATGTCAGGTACCTGTAAATATTCCATTAAATTATGTACCTTATTTTTTTTCTCTTACAGTGTCTGTGTATTAATATTTTCTACCTTCTACATGAGATATAAAATCAGTGTGCTGGAGGAACGTCTTATTTCCATCACATCCTTTAATTCACATATTAAGGAGTAAGATACACTCTGTAAAATTTGGGGGGGTTAATATCTTCCAGTATCTGTCATGCTTACCTATTTTCTTCAGAAACTGTGATACTGTAGTGCCCTCAGGCTACTTCAGTGTCCTGTAGTTCTTATTCTAGCCTTATCTCACAGCTTTCTGTTTAAGAATTTCAGTGCGAATGTGATATGTCATGGTTTACTACTGCCAGGAAAATGTTTCAGATAGCTGTAACTTCACTGTAAACTGCTGAAACAACCAGTTCCTTTCCAGAGCAATGATTCTGTGGAAAATACGTATAACTTCTGTCTTCAGTCTTCATATCATTTGATTAGCCTAAGATGACAGAAGGTACTTCGTAATCTTTGGGCTAATACATCTGACTTGCTTGTAAAATCTTCTCTGAAGCTTTGGGCTGCCTATTCTCTTTATAAACTGGTATTGTTAATTTTTTTAGTTTTTTTGATCTGTGTTGCATGGATAGGAAACACGCAAAAATCAAATGGAGAGGTAGTGCAGGGGCATACACCACAGTGGTATGCCACTGTGAGTTTTATCAGCTTCCTGCTCCTCTCTTAGGACAGAAAGCAGTGAACTGGATACTTCTGAGAATACTAATTTATTTATTCAGCATTAAATTTTGCATTAATACTTTGACTCTTCTTATAAGTTTTTTTCTAAGCTGCTCTGCAAAACATGGCTTCAAGTCATTTGTAAATTTCAGTGCAATACCTGCAGCTGCATGCAACATGAATGGGAATGCTAGTTAAGCACCGCCTGAAAAACAAGAGTGAGGAAATAAAAGAGATGGAGCTATACCCAGGCTGTGCAAAACTAACTGTGGTGTATTTCAGACCTGTAGCAAGCTCTTGAATAAGTGTGCTTATTAATTCAACTTTCTTTTGTGATCTATTAATGACAAACAGGTCACTCTGACAATGCTCTTGTGGTCATACTGAACAATGACTGTGCTACTTAGGATCCAGCTGCTCTCAGCTGTCTTCTGTAGAAAGCAATAGGACTTTTATGCATGTATCAGAAGACAGAGCTAGGTTCTTGATAATGGAATAGGAAGGAAATGGTTCTTTATCCTAAAATACAAATGCAAACCAACAATGCAAGGAGGGGTGTAAACCTACCTCTAATAGGCAATGTCAAAAGCCATTTTCCCACTTTTGGCGTGTTTATTAGCAGGATGCTGTGTCCCTCTTCTGAAGCACTCTCACATGAGAAAATTCTGTTTTCTGTTGCTCTGATCCTAAGCAGTACAAGATATCTAATGTGCACTTCTACAGTGTCAGGGAGTTGGGCTTTTCAATTTCTTCCAAGTCACAGAATAAGGAACTTTTTTCAACTTATTTCCAGTGGAAATAGTTGTAAAGTTTTCCATCCAAACTTCTGGAGAATGAGACCACAGTAAAAACGCAGTCAAAAGTGCAGAAGTGACTTAGGCCTTTGTTTATGTACAAGTACAGTTAACAATGTTGCCACTGTATTCCCATCTACATGTATCTCTCAGTTCTGTTTTTCTCTTTTTTGCTTCTGTAACATTTAAATCTTCATTCTGTTCAACAGACATCCACTGCACCAAGGTTTGGGATCTCATCTGCAAATTAATGCTGATGACCTTTGTGATGAGTTAACTGCTAACCTTATAAAATTGGAAAAGGTAACTTCCTTTATGGCATAATGCAAATGCTGATGCACTAATCAGGTTCTTGCTGAATTTCTACAGTCTGATATTTTGAAAAATGACAAGTTACCCCCAGATTTGATACCAGAACCTGGCATGTTTTCCCACACAAAGGCCTGGTTTTTGGAGTATAAATTAGGCCAAGTACAAGCATTGATATGTGTTATATTGCCCTAAGCTAAGGCTTACAGCTAGGAATACTAATAAACCAGATACTTCAAGGGAGGTTATTGCATGTAATGATCTCAAATTTTTTTGTCCATCAATTCTGAACTATTATTTGTCAAACTTTTCTGTCTGGGACTTTTGTGTAATTCTCTATACCTGACCTTTACTTTTTAACATCCTCTAATTGCAAAACTAAATATACCTGCTGACTTAAACTGGAAACCTATGCAAAAGAAGAGTGGGTGTGCAGACCTTATTTCCACTGCAGGTGTTGTGGTGGGCTAACTTTGGCCAGCAGTCAGACATCCACCCAGTTCTTCTTTCACTCCCCTGTCCTAGCAAATAGGATGAGAAAGCTCATGGGTCAAGAAAAAGGCAGTGAGATTGCTTACCAGTTACCATCACAGGCAAAACAAACTCAACTTGGGGAAAATGAATTTACTGTAGTACCAGTTAGAACAGATTTGGGTAGTGAGAAAGGACAAATGATACACCACCACCTTTCCTTTCCCCTTTTTCCAGACTCAACTTCGCTCCTTCCCTCCCAACTCCTTAGCCCACTCGTGCCCCCCAAGTGGGGCTAGTAAGGGTGTACAGTCAGTACATAACAATTTTTTCTCTGCTGCTCCATTCTTCCCCCATTTCCCCCCTGCTGCAGCATGGGCTCCTCCAAGGGCTCCAGGTCTTCAGGAAATAACCACCTTCTCTAGCATCGGTTCGCCATAGGCTGCAGCATGGACACCCTCTCTGGCATGGAGCACCTTCTCCTTCTTTTCCTTCCTACACCTTGGTGTTCCTTCGGCTGTTTCTCATCCTCTTACTCTCCTCCTGTCTCTTGTGGTGTTTTCCCTTTTCTTAAGTATGCTTTCCCAGAGGTTTCACCACCAGCTGTGCCCTGCAGTAGATGCACTGGAAGCTGCTGGCAGGGCAGTATGGGGCAGCCCCTGGCCTCGCACAGCCACTGCCCCTGCAGCCCCCTGTCCTACCCCTGCCCCCAAACATTGACAACTGAACCCAGTACAGGAATATAAAATGTCAGGTGCTGGGAACACATCCACTGGCCAAGCGTGAAATAAAAGTATTAGTGGAGTGAAAACAAAAGTTACTTGAATTACTATGTGCTTAAGTCACATTGGATACTGTTGCCTCCATTTCTAAAACTATATGCATGCCAAGGTCTTTCAACACCTTTTTTTCCCAAACCAAGTTTCTCAAGCAGCATAAAGCTGGGGTTACATAACATTGTTTGGTTTTGTGTGCAGCATAGGTTTTACAGACTGCCAGAAAGAGGTTTCTGCCCCCACATCTCCACCCCCTTGGCTGTGGAAGTCTAGAGTAATGCTGGCATAACCCCTTTGTATGTCCTGGATAGTATCAATGTGAATACAAGGGGAAAATACTTACCAGATGATGACCAGATAAAATCTTTATGATCAAATTAGGTCATTTAAGAGGTCGCTGCTTTCCAGCTATCTGGGGCAGGCTGGCAAGATGGTTGATGGGAGACCTTGCTTCGTTTCACTGGGAAACCAGCCAGCCATTTGCAGTGGGGCTAAGCACTTTCCCACTCCCTTTTATGGTCTTTATTTAGAGACACAGTAAAAGCAGCTGGATGGTCAGATCATTCAGCTATTCCCAGAGAAGTGACCCTCTGTCCTGAATTAACTTAAGTCGTGTGCTTTTTTCAGTTAGTGCGTACAGGATTGGCCCCTTAAAGTCTTATGTTGTATTTGCCAAGTACTCAAGGCATAGTCAACCGATGTGCATACAAGCTAAATGAGTATTGCCTGTAGCTGCGTATTACCACATCCCAGTCCTCTCTAATGTAGATGAGCAGGATGTTTGACCCTACTCTTGAACTGAAAAACTAAATCTTTTAGAAATTAAATCTTATTAAAAGAGCAGAGTTACTGCAGTCGCTTAACTGGTTCATAGGCCTCAGTGAAAAGGGCTAGTAATTGGCTGGAGCTGGCTTCAGCAACAAAGATAACATTGAAGTTCCAGTGTAACTTGTCATCTCTCCCCTCACTTCCTGTCTGACTCCCAGGGGACGTGTCCCACTATATTCCCCCCTCCCTCTGCTTTGAAGGAGAAGGAGATGAAAGGTGGATAAATAGGCTGTGTGAAATAGGTTTGCACAAATCATCCTTGAGGGTGCAAATGGCTGCTGTTGCCTTCAGTGTAACTGAGGGAAGATAACCTTAGTACACTGAATCTGGCAAATGGGACATACCTGCTAATGGTTAGAAGTCCTTATTTTGCTGCACCCGTATCCCAGCCAGCTGTGTAGCTGAAGCTGTTACAAAACTATTTGAATTACCCACTTAAATCTAAGAGCTGCAGCTTTGAAATTTGAGGCTTTTCCTGGGTTTTTATCAAGTTCAAAATAATTGGGTTTCTTCTCCCTTTCTTTCTAGCTTTAATTTTTCTTCTATCTTATTTTCTCATACCAAATGAAGGAGAGAGTCTGCAGGAGGAAGTTGCAAGAGATACTTGTAATATGAGAGCTAGGTGTGCTGCTGGCTGATCATATCCAGATGTTTCCTAGACTCTAGTATAGGAAACATTTAACATGAATACCATTAGTATGAATAGTTGGGACATAATTAACATGCATGCAGAGTGTCTTGATTGTTTGGGGTCCCTTTAAATGCAATATAACAGTTTGTGCCTCCCAATTATTTTTCTCTCTTTTTCTAAAAGATACAGAACAACTTACAAAAATTACTTGAAAATGATGAATGAAGCATCAAAGTTCTTGGACTGCTTCAGACCTCATTCTTCTCTCTTGACAAACAGTTCCAAAGGAGCTCTGCTGGCCAGAGTTCAAGCTTTATTTTCAGTCCATGCCAAGCTTTAAACTACTGTAAAGCTTATGTCATAATGCAGAAAGTCAGTTTATTCTTGAGCATGTTCCTGTATGTTTTGAAAACATACATGTTTTGGTCTACATGTATCTATATGTTTTGAAAATATGGGGATTTTTTTCTTCTCTTTTGTGTGTGAGTTAATGGATTTTATAGCTTGCTTGATTCTAGACTTGCTTACATCAGTGTAAACCTGGTGCATTTTGCCTATTGTCATACAAGTGTAAATGGGAAGATTTCAGTCATGACTCGTGCTGAATTATTGTGTGCATGATCTGGTATCTGTCTAAGCTGTG